TGGGAAAAAAGTCAGAATTCTGACTTTTTTCCCATATTAAACTGAAATAATATGTAAAAATCAGTTAACTTTATTTTTTTCTTAAGTGGCCCTAATCCTCTTCCGTAAATTTTTAACCCTTTCTTGCATAGAAGAAGGTGTATTTTTCGATTCATGTGTGTTTGATTAAACAGGAAATGCATTTTCATTTAATCCCAAAACTCAGATTAAGCTGGTTTAACTGTGTTTTGGGGCTTAAAATTTGGATAAATTTGCCCTCTAAGGTGAAAAGTTGTGGCCCAGAATTACAGAAAAAAGTAGTTTATTTAGCATTTCTATGCAACTTTCATAAAAAGAAATAATTGACAGAGTTTTTTAATTGTTCTGCCCCTGCGTGTTTGAAATCTAAACATTTTCCACCATTGGAAACAGTGATGGAGAATAAATGCACAAGCTAATAAAATTATTGACCCATTTTTTCCAGTTTTGTTCATTGGGTTTATATATGCTTAAATTTATTGAGGCTTATTTTAGTTAATTTAGAAAAATGCACACGTTTAGAAATATATGAAACAGGGAACAACATTTTCCCAATAATCCTGAGCTAATTTACTTACAAAAATTAAATAAATCAGCTAAAGATAATGATTGTTGGTGGAGTGGCGGCCTGCATTTAACCCATCAGCTTTCCAAGCTGATGGGTTAAATGCAGAGGTTAATTTCTCCAATGTTGGATCAATAAAGTGAAATCATTATTATTTCAATATAAAGTTTACTTCATCATTAAAAACAGGTTTTAACCCGACAGCAAAGGTGGCCTCAGACTTGCTGATAGTAGCAGACCTAAACGTGTCCAATGCAATAGGAAGCTTTATAAAAGCTTCTTAATATCACTAATTCATCCATCTATTTGCTAAATAACTAATTTGATTAAAACTTCAAATAGAAATTTTCCATAGAAGCTGATGGATGTAGGTAGGATCCCCTGTAGTGGTCTGTCTTACAGCGGCTTTGGAAAAGCCTCTGACTGAAGACAGTCGTTTATTTCAGTTTTTTAACCCATTCTTGCATTAATTGACAATCTCAGATGTTGAAAGAGTTAATCTAAGTTTTGGACAAAATATCCACATTAATATGGATGTTAGCTTGGACTGAAATAACCCCTCGAATAATTCAAGTTAATATATATACTTAATTTCTCAAACTCAGTGTAAATTATGTGCCTCAAGATATTGCTCAACTGTTCAGTGCACTGTGTTTCAGTCTGGTGATTTGTGCCCAGACTTTTCACTTCCTGTCCCACCAATACCAGGATATTACACGGTTATTATCAGCCATTCTATTAATAACCTTTTAATAACCCCCCATTTGTCAGTTTTCCACAATGTTTCTTGTTTATTATCAACACCTGCTTCAAAGGCATACCAGAAAGATGTGGTTTATATATTTCCGATATGGATATCAGCCCAGATTTTGAAATTGGTACACTCTTAAATAATTGGTTCAATTTGGAAAACATAGCAAGTCATCTTCTGTTCATATTTGCAAAAATCTTGGATTCCTGGGTTCTTATTTCCTGGAATTTAGACTTTTATGATGAAGCTTTGGTCAATTTTTTTTTTTTAATAAAGGCTGAGGTAGAATAAATTACAAGTATACTAACATGGCAGGTAGTGGAGCTGAGTCACACACGTAGGCAGTGGGTGAGTGTTTGTTATTGCAGGTACAATAGGTCAGTGTTTAACAGTGTTGTTATTATTGTTATTATTATTAGGTCAGCAACCCTGCTTGAACCAGTGACCGTCTCTCACCTTTACGTTACAACTTGCTGTTAAACATGAAAATGTGAGCCGTCTGCAGCAGCAGGCTGCTGTGCAGGTCCCTTTGGACATCCCGCTCCCCCTCCACTCTCCCTCAGCCATTTCGTTTGTGCCTTTTTAACACAAACAGCAACAAAAAAAGAAAAAAAAAGCTTACATGAGAGCAGGATGGTGTTTTGACTAGGAGAGCAGGTCACACAGCTGCCCTTTATTTGATCTACAGCCAGGACCTGACCCAGATCCCATTGAACGGCCGCCCAGTTCCTCTAGGAGGGGCCAAAATAAACGTCTAATGTTTCTGATAGTAGAGAGGGGTGACTAAAAAATATGGGTTGTTTTGGATGAATATGGTGAAGGACAGCAGGATCTCAACACACCATGTTTTTTTTTTTTTTGGGTTCTTTTGTGCTCATTAGTGTGAGGCAGAGGTTTGTGCACCTGGTTGCCCTGCAAAAACACTGCAAGAATGAACTTCACAGAACAACTCCACGGTTTTCCATGAAAGAAGTTGTTTCCCATTACAAATATGTGCAAAACTCTGTTGATGTTATACGTAAAATACCTATTTCCATGAACTAACGGATACACCTAGAAAAGCACTCAGAGAACGCAGACCTCCGCCAAGCAGCCCATTTTGCCCCATATTGTAATTTTCACCTGGGGTTAAATCCTGCACATCATCTGGATCATTACCAAATTTTAATGAATTAGTCTTTGGCAAGAGGTGCACTTTTGGTAACAATTCCCTTATATAAGTTTATTATAAGTTTATAAATAAGGCACAGAGTGTTTCTGCAGCCTCTGGTGTTTGTTCTGCTCTCACTTTCTTTTTTGTTTAGCAGATCGACACTTCAAGCTTCTTCCTGTGTTTTTGTCTTGAGTATAATAATTCTGGACATTTTCGAATCCGATAATAGAGCTGTCAACAGTCCCTGCTGCCACCCTCTGGTTTAGGGGGGAACTATGTGTTCCCCAAATAATATTTAAGAATCCTTTAAAAAAATTCTGCATCCGGATTATGATGTGGATCATCACCAAAGTGTAATTGATTGTTCCTTTGACTGAGGTGCACTTTTAGTAAAAATGTAATTAAAATCTGTTTTTAAATTTTCCTTGTTTCCTTACGTATCTTGTACACAGTCATGTGTACATTGCACGTGAAGACATTTGTTCAAGTGATGAAAAATACATGGCAGTGGCAGATATAAACACAAGATATAACCAGTGTTGGGCAAGTAACTTAAAAAAGTAACTGGTTATACTTACGAATTACTTTTCCAAAAAAGTACAGTCATTATTAACAGCCATAGTTGTTCTGGTAACACGTTACTTAATAATACGTTAGTCCAAACACTGGATATAACCACATTTCAGACACGGCTCTAGTGGACGCCATCATCCTCGAACCACTTCCAGTTTTCTTCTTCATGTTTTTACAAAGCGGTGAGGTCCAGCTGCAGATCCTGTGACCTGTGATGGAAAGAAAGTGTTTCCAAGATGTTTTGTGAAATATATCTCATTTTAAAGGCTCCCTGGATCTTTTTGCATCCCCTTATTTCATTTTTTCAATAGCTTATATATGCTTAAAACATCTAACTTTGATTTTTTTTCGAAGTAAGAACCTGCATTGTCTATTGATTGAAGTTGGACTCTGAGCATATTGCTTTTGCTGTGTCATGTCATCTGCAAAATGTAATTATAATGCTACGTTTACACCAAAAGCGTTTAGAGTCC